GCCCCCCAGCGACAGAAGCTCCCAGCCTCTCCTTTTTTTTCTTTTCTTTTTTTTATTCTGGGATTTATTTACCTTCTATAATTGAAATTTTGTTGCCTTCAGTGGAGCTCAGAGCCGGCCGCGGCAGGCGGGAAGCTTGGCTTCCTCCATCACTGGAGCAACCAAGCCTCCTGCTTGCTCCAGCTCTGTGGCTGCCGGCCGCCATCTTGGTTGCATTAATTTGCATATAGTCACTCTGATTGGCTGGTGGGCATGGCTTAAGGCGTAGCAAAGGTACAGTCAATTTGCATGTTTGTCTTTTATTAGATTAGATGGGGACTGAGGATGGAAAGATGGACAATACACAAACATATTTCTTGATTCTAAATGGAATTTTTTCACATTTTAGTGTTTCTGAAAGTGGGGTGTACCTTATAATTTATGACAATTTAGAATTATATTTGTCATTGTTTCTTTTTTAGTGACACCTAAAAGAATGGTGTATCTTACAATCAGTTTGAATGATAAATTTGATGAATCACTATTTAATAAGGCATTTGTTGATAAGTGCTATGAGAAAATAAACCAGAACAAAGGGGATAGAGAGTTACATGACTATTCACAAATAATGTGATATTTGAGCAGAGCATATGCTCAGTTCAGATGATATATATATATATTTTAATATATTTTATTGACTTTTCACAGAGAGGAAGGGAGAGAGATAGAGAGTTAGAAACATCGATGAGAGAGGAACATCGATCAGCTGCGTCCTGCACATCTCCCACTGGGGATATGCCCGCAACCAAGGTACATGCCCTTGACCGGAATCGAACCTGGGACCTTTCAGTCCGCAGGCTGACGCTCTATCCACTGAGCCAAACCGGTTTCGGCCAGATGATATTTTTTTCATAGTTGGACTTCCTCCCTGAAGGATGCAGTATATTGGTTCACATTCTGACACAAACTTCACTGTGGACTGGTAGCAGCTTGTGAACTGGCTACTTTGAATAGCACTGGTGTAGAGGGGTGGAGTCCTGGCAGATGGAGGTACATGGGGGTTAGGGAGCATTTTGCAAGATGGGTTCAGACCTTATAGGCATGGTAAGGGCAAAGGTGACAGAATTTTCCATCTTAGTAGCTGGCAACAGTTCTAGTTGCTCAACAAAAACTTTGGAGTCATCTTTGACTTCTCCATTTGCCCATTTTCTACACCCAGTCAGCCAGCAAATCCTGCCTGCTGTACCTTCCAACCATGTCCCAGTTTTGACCATCTCCACCTAAACCACTCTGGTCCTGGCCATCATCATGCCAGGATCATCATGATAGCCTCCTTACCTGTCTCCATTCTTCTACACTCCCCTACCTGTGATGGCTTGTCAATTTAGCAACCAAAGTGATCCTCTGAAAGTATGTTTGATCATTTGATACTCCTGCTTTAAACCCCTCAAACTGATCCTGTCACTCTCAGAGGAAAGATTAAAGTTCTTTTGATGGCCTACAGAGCTCTACACTATTTGGTCTCCCACATATTTGATCTTATATCCTACTTGTCTGCCTTGTGCTTATTCTGCTTTTAGCTGCCTTGGTGGTCTTACTGTTGTTGTTTTTTTAATCATGTTGAGCATGTTCCTGCCTCAAAGCATTTGATTTGTTGTTTCCTCTGCCAGGAATACTGTTCCCCCAGATATCTGCTTGGCCTACTTCCACAGGTCTCTGCTCAAATCTCCCCTTATTAGAAGGGCCTTTTACCACCCTATGTAAAATAGCACCCCTCTTTCCCTACTAGCACTGTGTTTTCCACTAAACCAGGATAAACTAAGTTGTGCTGCAGCAGCAAGCAACTCCACAATAGCAGGGGCCTAAACGACAAAGTTTGTTTCTCACTGATGGTATCCCTCTGTGGCAAGTCACCTGGGAGGTCCACTTCACACCGTCTTTAACTCTAGGATCTGGCTGATTAGCATGGCCACCATCTTGAGTACTGGCAGAGGGAAAGTCCATTCACTGGCTCTTCAAGTATCTGCCTGGAAGTAATGTCTATTACTGATTTGGCCAAAGTGAGTCATGTTGCCATACCTAACTTCAGTTAGGGAGGGGGAATGGGTGTGTGGCAGTCCTATCATGTATTTTAAAAGAGACCAGGTAATAATATGATGGATGATATAGCCATACTCTTTACCCTGCTTAATTTTCATTTCTTTTTTGTTTTTAATATGTTTTTATTGATTTTCAGAGAGAGGAAGGGAGAGGGAGATAGAAACATCAGTGATGAGAGAGAATCATCTATCGACTGCCTTCTGCACACTCCCTACTGGGGATCAAGCCCACAACTTGGGCATATGCCCTGACCAGGAATTGAACCACAGTTGGTTCATGGTTCTTGAGTCAGTGCTCAACCACTGAGCCATACCAGCCTGGCCTGCTTAATTTTTCTATAGTATTTATTTCCATTTGACATAATGCATAGTTGCCTTGGTTTGTGTATTTTCTTTTCTCTCTTGTCTAGACTGAAAGCACCACAAAAGGGGAGGGATTTTGTCTATCACTTACTGCTATACCCCAGGGCCTAGGATAATACATGGTCAAGAGTAGGTGCTTGTTAATTTTAGAGAATGACTGAAAATACTAAAGCATGTCATTCATTTATTCACTTGGTGACATGTAAGCCAAGTTGGGAGTGTGGAGCAGGGAGGTTTGAGGAGAGAGGATGAGATGGTGTGAAATAAGTTGATGAGTAGGTTTATTAGAGAAAAGGAATAGAATTGCTGATCAGTAGAGAGTGTCAGCAGTTTGAGATTTGAGACTATGAACTTACCGTGAAATCTTGCAGCTTAGCGATTTGATTTTCTTCAGTAATGCCGAGTTACTCAGGAGCTGGCCTGGAAGAGGCAGCCATGAATGATCCTTGCACGAGCCTATTTCACAAGGAATGGTGGAGGCCCAAGCTGAGGAAGAAAACTTGGTTCCAGCTGCCTTACATCACCCCTGCTCCATCTTCGGTCCCGTCAGAAAAATAAAGGAGCTTGCCTTTACAGGAAGCCCATTCTCCTGGGGTGATGTGATTGCAGTTGTAGAAGCAGTTTTCCCTATTTCATTTACTTCTCACAACACTTTTGAGGTAGCTTTTCTTATCTTCATTTTACAAGTGAGGAAAACTGAGGCTTAAACTGCTGGAGATAGAATTTAGGTTGATTAAGCTCACAGCCATGGTGCTCTGCTATACTTTTGATGTATACTTATTGTTTCTTCTATACTTATTGAGGCCATGGGGAACCTCTTATCTCGGGGATGGGGAGCTCTGTTAGCTATTAGATTCCTGGAGCCTTGATTGTGTCTCAGTCATGAAGATTGTATGCAACCACTGTACTAATGGTTCCAATTTAGATGTTGCAAGACCTTATCAGAGAGGAAACAGTTGGGCTATTTTTATACTTAAACAAACTCATTACCAACTGTAGTTAGTAAATTCACTCCCAGGGAATTTCTTGTGAATACTATTAAAGTGATCCTTGTGCGATCTGAGATTGTCTCCATCAGTGATATCTTTCTGTGGTCTGTCCTGTTGAGCTGAACCTTTCTTAGGTGCAAGGGGTTGTGCTGGGCTTTATTGCCAATAGAGAGAAGAGAAAGCAGGTGGCCTTTGTTTAGAAATCTTTAATGTAGTTCGGAAGGCAAAACAGGTACAAAATCCTGAATATTCAAATATCCTGGAAATGGGTGCAGAGTGGGTGCGGGGGCTCCTCGGGCTAAAATGCTTCACTGAAATGGACGAAGGGAAGTGGAAATGGTGTTGTAATTTGAAAGCTGCATAATGTTTAGAAAAGGCTCTAAATGGAAAACCGACTTGGGCTCCAGTCATACTCATGGTGGATAATCTCAGTAGGCCACTGCAGTCAGTAATGTTAGCACTTTTAACCACATTTTAATACTTCTTGTTTTTTAATATATTTTATTGATTTTTTATAGAGAGGAAAGGAGAGGGAGAGTTAGAAACATCGATGAGAGAGAAACATCGGATCAGCTGCCTCCTGCACACTCCCTACTGGGGATGTGCCCGTAACCAAGGTACATGCCCTTGACCGGAATCGAACCTGGGACCCTTTAGTCCATAGGCCGACGCTCTGTCCACTGAGACAAACCTGTTAGGGCACATTTTAATTATTTTTAATGTGCTTATGTATGTGAATCCTGCGCATGCTGAAAAGCTAACCGGTCAATTTGATAGAAAGCATACTCTTCTCTCTATTTCTTTGCACTTCGGTGACCATGTTCTGAAAGGTATTTTATGGGAGTTCCTGGCTATTAACTTGGTTTGGTCTCACATAAGAGCCAACTAACAATGAAAACCTTGCCAGTAAATTCCACTTGTTTTCCAGTGCCCTTTGATCACTTACCTCTGTAGGTAGATGTTTTGAAATATATGTTAATTAGAGCTAAGTTCCAGAGTTTGTGCAGTTTACTTTCATTTTTTTTATATTTTATTGATTTTTTACAGAGAGGAAGGGAGAGAGATAGAGAGTTAGAAACATCGATGAGAGAGGAACATCGATCAGCTGTCTCCTGCACATCTCCCACTGGGGATATGCCCGCAACCAAGGTACATGCCCTTGACCGGAATCGAACCTGGGACCTTTCAGTCCGCAGGCCAACGCTCTATCCACTGAGCCAAACCGGTTTCGGCTACTTTCATTTTGTTTTAAAAAATAAATTCTCTTGCTTTGTTCACTCGTGTGTTTTTTTAAATCTTAGGAACAATAATTCTCAAAGCGGTTTTCTTTTTCCCTCCAGACAAGGCACCTCTATCTAAGAGTCTTTTACTGGTCCCCAGTGCCCTGTCTCTTTTGCTGACTCTACTCCTGCCACACTGTCAGAGGTTCTTCCTATATGACCTCCAAGCAGTCAAGGATGACTTTCAGGTGAGCTCTGCTTCATTGGCCTTTGGGAAGGGAGAAGGCAGATTTTTCCTAGATTTGCCTTTTCTTTCTGCTACTCTTAGTCCTTCAAAGCCTCTAAATTTGTAAGAAATACTATTTATCATTAATATTATATTAACAAATTCTCTAGTTTTATTTATTGATGTTTTCAGCAAAGCAGATTCAAATGAAGCAATTGCAGCACTAGACACTCTCTCTTTTCAGTTACACCATTTACACATGAAAATGCAGTTTATAATTTCAAGAGAATTAAAAACAATGTTAAATTTGGTTTTTAGTGAATAGTATGTATGCTTAACATTTTAAAAACTTGCATCAGTTTGAATATTAATTGGATAATCTAAGCTCTCAGCTCTAACAGATTGTTGAATCTACGAATTACTTTTATAGTGGTGGTTAAACCAAGTAGGAGATTTCTCTTGGGTTTTTGCTGCTGAGAAGAGCAGAATTCTATGTTTTTCAAGACTTATAGGCTGATTTCATAGAACATGCTGGTGCTGGGTCTTATTTGTGAGTTGGAGTATTAGTGAAGATTGTGGTGTATAAACCTGCCACCTTTTCTTTGCTAAATATTTAATTATCCACAATAATCCACCTGTATGTCATAATAATGTAATTAATACCACTCAGGTTAATTTCACCAAGTTCCTGTGAAGGTCTTTCAGTTATTTTCTGTTAGAATATAGTATAGATTCTGTATTAGTTCAGTTGCAATAATACAGTGGTTCTCAATTTGGCTGAGAACCACTGCTGAAGGGACTGAAGTTGGTGTCTTCCTGATTTGGGGGGTTAATTTGGTTCATCTGGCTAAGTAGGCAAGCATCCCATTCCACTTCATCACTTTATGGGCATCTATACTCTGAAGATAAAGAGGACAACCACTCTTCTGTCCAGGAATGTGAATAGGCACACTCTCCTGCTAGAATCTCCTAAAAAGCTCTCACTTTGCTTTTATAAGAGCAGCTACAGAGATAAGTTTCAGTTCTGCCTTGGGAAATCTAAACATACACATACATAAGACATAAGTGACATGAAATCCTCAGGGATGATAAATGAAGTAGGGACCAGTATAGAATGGAATAACTCTGGAGAGCCATAAAGATAGGAATTTTCCATTTGGTCTGAAGGAAGGGATGCCAGTTTATTAGCAGTAGAGAGAGAAGAGCATTTTACTTCCCAAAGCAATATGTACTTCAAACCATTAGGAATACTGTAGAGGAGGCATGGTTGGAGACTAGTGCAGGGTTACGTTAGATGAGGACAGGAGGGACAGTTGGTGAAGGGCTTTCTTTTGCAAGTGTGGAATCTCCCACATTTTGACACTTAAGGCAGAGATCTCCTGCCTCTAGTGTGTTGCAGGTTGAATGCAGAAGTAGTGTTTTGCTGAGTGCAAGTCAGTGATCAATTTTATAAGGAGCAGGCACCTTATAGTAATCTCCAATTATTTATTTTTATACCAGGTTACAGGTTTTTGTGTCCGTAAGCATAGGACAAATTACAAAATTATTTAAAAGTGTGGTTTCTATTTTTATTTGTCATTAAAACAACAATTCTATAAACCCAATTTGTTAGATTTAAATAATTGTAAAGTCTTAATGTCCTTAATCCCCCAGATTTTCCTGGTGGCTCACAGGGCTTTGCCCTGAATAGAATATATTTTTAGAGTTTAAAATGTGGGAAATAGAAGACGTTTCTGCATCTTGTTTTGCAAAGGTGACAGTCATTATCTTATATTTTAAAGCACTACATAGTTTACAAAGCATTCTCATTTGATCATGTTGATGGTCGCATATGCTGGCCTACAGATTCAATGTGATTCTGGTGCAGCCATGGAATTTCTAAGGGAGAAAAGAAATTTAGTTTAGAGGTGTCACCTGTGTTCCATATGTGTGCCCATTATGGTCATTGCTAACTGATGATGTTGCTGTTTCTCCTTAAACCCAGCTGTGACCTTAATACAGCATTATTGGCAGCCATCCCCATTTCAGTTAGATGGGCATGTGAAATGAATTCTAATGGCCATCCCTAAACCAGTCCAGTGCCGTCATATTTTGGAGTACACTGATGACAAAGACTGTCTTGGTTGGAACTGAAACGGAAGTGAAATGTTTTGACAGTTGGTATAGTCTATATTTTCATTTATATTATAACTAGAGGCCCGGTGCACGAAAATTTGTGCACTCGGGGGTCCCTCAGCCCAGCCTGTGCCCTCTCGCAGTCTGGGACCCCTCGGGGGATGTCCACCTGCTGGCTTAGGCCTGCTCCCCGGGGGATTGTGCCTATGCTGGCAGTGATACATCCCTTGAGGGATGTCCACTTGCCAGCGGGCCGAAGCTGCAGTTGAACATCACTGTCAGTGCCAGGGGGCTTCTTCCGTGCTTTCCCTTTTGCCTCCCTGCATTGTGCCTACATATGCAAATTAACCGCCATCTTTGTTGGCAGTTAACCGCCATCTTGGCTGGTGATTAATTTGCATATCTTGCTAATTAGCCAATGGGAAGGGTAGCGGTCATACGCTAATTACCATGTTTCTCTTTTATTAGTGTAGATTATTTATATTTGCAAGAATTTCTTTTGGCAAGGTCATATGCCTTAGACAAGTAAAACACTTTCTCTGTGCATATTCTCCTTATTTTAAAATAGAGTTAATCTTACCAGTATGCATAATAGCATTCCTCACAATAGCCTAAAGGTGGAAGCAATTCAAATGTCCATTAATAGATGAATGGATTTTAAAAATGTAGTGCAGACAGACAGTGTAATATTATTTAGCTATTCAAAGTAATGAAGCTCTAATACATGCTTTAACATGAACCTTGAAGACATAATGCTAAGTAAAGTAAATAAGCCAGACAACAAAGGACAAATATTGTATGATTCCACTTATATGAGGTACCTAGAATAGTCAAATTCTTAGAGACATAAAGTAGAATAATGGTTACCAGGGGCTGAGGGGAGGGGAGAATGGGGAGTTATTGTTTAATGGATACAGTTTCTATTTGGGATTGTGAAAAATTCTGAAAATAGTGGTGATTGGGGATACAACATTATGAATGTTCTTAATGCCACTGAATTATACATCTAAAAATAGTTAAAATGATAAATTTTATTTTATGTAATTTTACCAAAATAAAAACAATACAAAAGAAAAGGTTAATATTTCTTGTACCTATCTTAAAAGGTAATTGTGAAAGGTAAATAATATCAGAATGTTTTACAAATGTCATTGGGATTATCTTTAAATATCTGGAAAATATTTAAGAAGTCTCAAAATAAGCCTTTGAGTTGTTCTTTCTTCTTTGTATAGTTCCTTATATATTTTTCACACAAGGAGAAATTGATTTACGTAAATTAAAAGTTAACTTTAAAAAAAAATTTAAACCTAGTAATATTTAGCAACAGTTGCCATAATTTGCCTTGTATGTGGGTTGGTATGAAGTAGGTTGAGCATTAAAATTAAGCTTAGAAATGGATATTATTGAGTTTATCCCTAAATAGCTTTTCAGTTACACCTGTTTTATTAAATAGCATAAAAACGAACATTAGCCTTTCATTCTAGCTCACATATATAAATTTTTTTTTATTTTACGAAACATAGTCTTAAGATGTTTTACAGGAAATTTTCTGTTTTCTTAATGAGAATAAATTTTACTTATTATAATAATCAAAAAATTTTAAGTACCCTTTGTGCCGTTATATGAAAAGAATTTTAGCAGGAGACAGTAGAGCTCATTTCTTAGGAAAAACATATATGTGTTTTCCTTTTCTGTATGCATCATTATTTTGCTTAGAGTTTAAAAAATAAGCAGTATAAAGTAAATGTAACAAATTTGCTAAGGAGCAACCTGAACAGATCTCACTCTTTATTGTTCTTTTTTAAATCCCCATCTAGATTTGGAGGCTGATATGTGGAAGAATAATTTGCCTTGATTTGAAAGATAGTTTCTGCAGTAGTCTGCTTATTTATAATTTTAGGATATTTGAAAGAAGATATGGAAGCAGAAAATTTGCAGTAAGTTCTTATGTATTTTCTCTTTGCTGTTAGGTTATAGAAAAACATTTTTTGTTTTTTTATTATATTTAAATAGTTTTATTTTGTTATTATTAACAATTATCTTTTAATTACATGATCCTTTATCTGAATTGGAACAGGGACATTAACCAAAGAAAAATTTAAATTTAAGTCACTAGCATAATAAAATAATGATGATGGTAATAGGTCATAATGTCAGGTATGAGTGGGTACTAACAATTTTTATTAGGATTTTGACTTTAATAAAATTCTCATTACTTATTTTGCTTAATGGTTTGTGTGATACTTGTTAAATCATCCTATTAATGTGTTTGACCAATATAGTTTTATTCTCTCATTTTGATTATATATATACACTAGAGGCCCAGTGCATGAAATTTGTGTATTGGGGGGGGGGGTCCCCTCAGCCCAGCCTGCACCCTCTCCAATCCGGGATCCCTCTCACAATCCAGGACCGCTGGCTCCTAACTGCTCACCTGCCTGCCTTCCTGATTGCCCCTAACTGCCCCTGCCCCCGCTGGCCTGGTTGCCCCTAACTGCCCCCTCGCACCAGCCTGGTCTCCCCTTACTGGCCCCCTCTGCTGGCCTGGTTGCCCCCAACTGTTCCCCTCTCCCCCCCCCCCCCCCCCCCGGGGGGGGGGGGCGGGGGCGCCCCTCCTGCTGTGGTTGCCCCAAACTGCCCCCTCCTGCCGGCCTGGTCACCCCCAATTACCCCCTGTTGGCCTGGTCGCCCCGCGCAGCCTGCTGTTCAGTCATTTGGTTGTCCCTCACTAATCCCCCTGCCGGCCTGGTCGCCCCTCGCAGCCTGCTGTTCAGTCATTTGGTTGTCCCTCACTAATCCCCCTGCCGGCCTGGTTGCCCCTCGCAGCCTGGGCCTGGTTGCCCCTCGCAGCCTGCTGTTCAGTCATTTGGTTGCCCCTCACTAATCCCCCTGCCGGCCTTGTTGCCCCACGCAGCCTGCCAGCCTGCTGTTCAGTCGTTACTATTACTGTGATGGTGTCCTGGACAATTTGCATACTCTATTATTAGTATAGATAGTCTCATATATATATATATTTAAGTTTGTTTTTATTAGAAAAGACTATATATATATGTATATATATATATATATATATTAAAAAAAAATAAGTAAATGTTAATTTATTTTTAGAAGACTCCTCTATATAATGCTTTGTTTTATTTTTAGTCCTTTTTGCTGGGTTCCTGGGTTTTGTCAGCCTTGGTTGACTTCATCCTCGTTGAAGCTATGTGGTATTCCTTTGGTATCACTGCATCCAGGAATTTGCCGTCTGGATTGTAAGTAGCTCTCAAAGACTAGCTTATTTTGTAACTAATTAAATCTGATTTAAAGTAGTATTGTACATGAAAGTCATTAAAAGCATATTTTAAACTTTTAGAGACAGTAGAATTGATTTTATGTATTAAAAAATCCAGTGTATACTTATATTCTCATTATGTTCTTGAAACAAAATTTATTTTACATTCGCTCTTTTTCAGCTCTGAAGTCCCATGTTTTAGGGAATTTTTAATGAATTTCCTGTTCTAATTCTGAAGATAGAATTAGTTTTATGTGTTTATTTTATAGTGAAATTTTGTCTATGTAGTTTTGTGAACTAATTAAACACAAAAATACAAAGTTTAATTAATTAGATTAGATTAGGCAAAAATTAATTTGCCTTAAGTTAAGCTTCTGAAGAATGATGTTTTTAAAATTGATATTGTTTAATACTTCCACCAAAGATAAAACAAAGTCAGTATATAAGTTATTTTTAGCCAATTTGCAGTAGTCAATCTAACTCAGAGTGTATATGCTTTCATATGGTATTGATCTTCTTTTAACAACAAAACAAAAAAACATGTATTAGTTTATGAAATACTAGAGGCCTGGTGCACGGGATTCATGCACTGGTTGGGGGCGTGGCCAGCGGGGATTGGCCCATTGTGGGAGCGCCACTCATCCCAGTCAGCCGAGCAGCTGTGGACCTGCCCTCTGAGTGGCTGATCCCACTGTGAGAGCAGCTGCTCATCCATCAGCTGAGCAGCTGCTTTTGCTGTGGGAGCGCCCCTCATCCTGGTCAGCCGAGTGGCTGCAGCAGGAGGAGCCGCTCATCCTGATCAGCTGAGTGGCGCTCCCATTGTGGTCAGTGTGCGTCATAGCAACTGGTCAAGTGATCGTTCTGGTCGTTCCGCCATTTAGTCACTGAGCTTTTATTATATAGGATTTAGTATCTAGGAGCAGAGTTGTTAGCACTTATAAGTGACCTTAAAGCATCTCTGGATTATATATTGGAGACTGCATTTGAGAGATACTTTGAAATTAAGATACCAGATATTTAAAATTCTGTGTGTACTAACTTCAGCCTTATTTTAATTTTGAATTTGTGTTTTTGAGAACTATTAGATGATTGTATGTATTTTGACTCAAGTTCACTTTGGATCTCTATTTTAAAAATGCAGTTAATGATCTAATAGCTTTCACACTTACATTGTTAATTTACACTGTGGCTGTCCTTTATGAGATTTACTTATAGTGGGCATGAATATTGTTAATAATGTATGATTCTGAATAATAATTGGAGACAAAATCTTGTGTCAAAATTATCATGCAGTTTTTGTTGAGGTCCACAGATTGTAATTGTAATGAGACTGAGAAGTTTGAGTTGACTATTCTGCTATTGTGGAAAAAAGTGTAGTTATCAGGAATGATTTCATATTGATTCAGGAAAGCAGCAACATTACTGAATCATAGGTTTTTCTCAAACATTTCTCATCCAGGCCAGTTATTTTTAGTTATCTATAAGGCCTACTGAGTTATATAGGACAGTATATACGTATCATGTGAGTTTGTCTCAGAATAAACTTTGGGCATGGATAGTAATATAGCTTTTAACTCGTGTTTAAAATGAGATAAGATTGTCTCCTTGTTTGATGACCTTTTTTCCTATTGCACAGAGTTGAATGACTTATTTTTTTGTATGAATGACATTTATTTCTTTATGAAATCCTGGTTCTTATAAGGAGGATTTATTCAGTTTTGAAGTTGGGAATATTTTTATTTATTCTTAAAGCAGGAATATTTAAATCTTGGTTCATAGCAAAAGTTGCAAATTTGAGTAAATTCAAAAGTTATAGGATCCCCTTGGAAAGAAATTACTATAAATGTTAATTCATCCATTCCCCTGAATGATGAATGTATTTCTTTTTCCTTTTCAAATCATGAAACATGAGAGTATGGCATTTTAGAATCTTGAAGCTTTCTCAGACTTCTTGGAACATACATATTTAATTCAATAAAGTGACTCTGGCTGGTGTGGCTCAGCAATTGAGCGTTGACCCAGAAACCAAGAGGTCACTTGTTTGATTCCCAGTCAGGGCACATGCCTGGGTTGTGGGCTTGATCCCCAGTAGCGGGTGTGCAGGAGGCATCTGATGGATGATGTTTCTGTCTCCCTATTCCTCTGCCTCCTCTTTCTCTAACAATCAATAAGAACATATTTTTTAAAAATAAATGAACTTTGCATTTTGTAAATATATCTTTTATTTGATGAGAGCAAGGCTTCACAAACTCAGGAAAGGAAACTTCTCTCTTTTTTTTGGTCAACATGCTTTATAATTTGCAGGGTTTTTCACATAATATCTTGTTACCTTTTTTTTTGGCCATTAATGTCAAATTTATCTGCCCTCTCTATAATTCTTGACTTCGGACTTAATTCTCTCTCTCCCCCCTTTTTTTAACCTTACCACTTTTAAAATTTCTCTAATAAATTTCACCAGTATCCAACTAATTTCTAAAGCCAGTGACTTATTTTCAGTTGTCTTTGACCTTTCAATAGCATATTAAATACTTTTGACCTCTCATTATTTAATAAAATAACCGCCCCCTTGAGTCCTAGCATACTACGCTCTCCTAGTCCTTTTTGACCTTATTTACTGTCTACGCTCCTTTCTCAAGTTTATTTCAAGTGCTTCCTCTGGGCTGTCTTGTCCACTGCCATGACTTCAACTACAGTTAATGTCTGTGGTTTTGTTTCCCAACACTCTATTTCCAGTCCATATTACTTTCCTGATCTTTTTAGAGTCATATTCAGAAAAAGTAGCCATTAAGGTTTTGACATTAAAGAAAGGTACATTACAAAAGCTATATATAGTAGGTACTTCCAGTAACCCATGCCTATCGAACATTTGTCCTTATATACCTATTATTTTTTAATTGTTAGTATTTACATGTGAATGTTACATTGTTTCCCAGAATCAAATCCCTCCAGAGAAGTGGAATTTTGGCTTTTTATATATCCTGTTTAAATGTATCTAATTACAATGCTGAGTAAAATTATTTTTAATTAATTGGTTTAGATTATTTATAATTGTATTGTGAGAACCATGACATACATTTTCACTTCGTTGTCTTTGTGGTAACAAAGCCTTTTGTTGTGTTTTGTGCTCTCAAATTAAGAAAAGCTATTATAGAGAACTTGCCATTTAATAAATTACATAAGAGCAGATTAATCCATGTAGTTTAAGAGTATTTATGACTGTATTTGCGTACCATAACTCTACATAAACAGGAGTTATTTCCATTGTTTTAGAAGTATTTATTTGTTTAAAGATATTTATTAAAGTATCTTGCTTACATGACTATTCAAACTAAAAACTTCAAGTAGTTTTCTCTTTGTTGAGAAACTACATCTCAGTATGATCTTGACTCCTTTAGCTTATGTAGCTATGAGAATTTTTACATCCCATAAGCTTGTTTCCTTTTTATTATTTAAAAAAAAACAACTGGTGATTAACATGAAAAGAGAACTGAATTTGCTTTATAATCCTCTTAGGACCTTAGTTTCTTTACATTTAAAACAACAGATCATCTAAGGCAGTGGTTCTCAACCTTCTGGCCCTTTAAATACAGTTCCTCATGTTGTGACCCAACCATAAAATTATTTTCGTTGCTACTTCATAACTGTAATGTTGCTACTGTTATAAGAATAAAACCCCTGGGAAGTCTGAAAGATGGTATTGCTGTTTGTGCAATGAGCAAACCATCACCGCCAAAGGGGGTCCTCAAACTTTTTAAATAGGGGGCCAGTTCACTGTCCCTCAGACCGTTGGAGGGCCGGACTATAGTTTAAAAAAAAACTATGAACAAATTCCTATGCACACTGCACATATCTTATTTTGAAGTAAAAAAACCAGAATGGGAACAAATACAATATTTGTATTTGCATGTGGCTCGCGGGCCGTAGTTTGAGGACCCCTGGCCAAAGGGGTCGCGACCCACAGGTTGAGAACCGCTGATTTAAGGGATCTTCTTGTACTAAAATGCTGTTTTAGGCTCCTTTGTGTTTATTTTTTAAGAATATTAATTTATCCATGTTAATTATAGAAATCAAGTGATAACCAAAGCATTGATACGATTTTAAGTTCTATTGGGAGATGATTATGTTAAGAATAATAAAAGTGATTTAGCAGAGAGGAAGTTATAGTTAACTCATTTGGGTACATATTTAGAATATAGGCTTTACAGATTATATAGTTCAATAGAGGCCCTGGTGCACGAGTTTTGGGCCTGTGCCCTCTCGCAGTACGGGAGCTCTCTGGGGATGTCCAACTGACTGATGGCTTAGGGGAGTGGGCCTAAGCTGGCAGTCGGACATCCTTAGTGCTGCCGCGGAGGTGGGAGAGGCTCCCGCCACCGCCACTGCGCTCTCCAGCTGGGAGCCCAGCTTCTGGGCTTCTGGACTTCTGGCTGAGTGGCGCTCCCCCTGTGGGGGCACACTGACCACCAAGGGGCAGCTCCTGCGTTGAGCGTCTGCCCCCTGGTGGTCAGTGCACATCATAGTGACCAGTCATTCCATTGTTTGGTCGATTTGCATATTACCCTTTTATTATGTAGGATTTCCATTTCTTTTTAAATGGAGAAGTTACTTTGTTTGTTACTTTATTAGGGAAAATTAAATGGCAAGGTCCTTGACTAGTGCTTTTTATACTGTGACATATGACCTGGAAAAAAAAAATCAATCTCTTTTGTAATGTGATGTTTAATCACATAGGAAGAGCAACTCTTTATATTGGAGAAAGATATTTTACCATATAGCAGAAACATGTCACAGGAAAAAACTTGGATTATTGGTCAGAAATAGGGTCTTGGGTTAGGTTTCCCCATTGGTCTTAAGTAGAGTCTGGTGCTTGGTAGGCTCTCAGTAAGTGTTTATTGGATGACGTTAGCCTGTTTCCAAAAGAAAATGAATTCAGAGTAGAGGAGGACTGATGGCCATGGTCTCCACAGGCTCACTCAAATGCTTGCTCCCACTAATTTTGCTCTGCAGCAAATAGCAGTGAAGAGATGAACATAGTTGTTTTTCTAAGATCCTGGAAGTTTAACTTCAAACAAAAAAATGTTGTTTTTGGACCACCAATCCTGAGTATAAATTAAACCAAAGGGAGCTATCTAGATGGAAAACACTTTCATCAAATTATTTTGAACAGTAGCTGGATTTTCTTTGCCTACTGCCTTGACATCATGATTTACTTGCACATAGAATTAAATCCAAAAAGCTAAGTCAACTATACTAGTATATTTAGATAAGGCTTGAATATGAAACACATGTTGGATGTTTTCTCCTAGTACTTCATGAAAATGTTCTATATAAGTTTTAAAAATAAAAATAATTAATGTATTAGTATACTTTAGAATATTTAATTATGTTGCCACAATACGATCACACAAAAGAGTTTTTAAGGTTTATTTTTTTTTTTCAGGAAAGAAGGGACTTGATAATATACAAAATGTCCACTGACTCTAGGGTAATTAGTAAAGTGAATTTAAGGAGGTTGAAGACAAAAAACTTACTACTCATAACATGTCACTGTTTATGTTGCTTAGTGACCGCAAACTAGCTGATCGGAAGCTTTTCCTGCGCACGCTCCGAAGGTAATTGCGGTATAGCATGACACTAATGACTCGAGCCTGAAATTGTTTTGAAACAATGTAGTAGAGAATCACATCCAGACAGGTACTGAGGTTCATCAGGAAGGTGGTAAAGGCTCCCCAGGGATTGTAACTGTTCTCATCCCCTTCCAACATCAGGAAAGCAAAACAGATGTGGAAAGGCATGAAGCAGACGATCACCTGCACCAGGAGTGTGATGATGATCCTAATAGACTTCTCCTTGACTTTTGGTTTGAGCTTCGATGTCCTACCATGGAGGAGACTATGAATAATGACCAAGTAGCACCCAATCATGATGAACAGAGGAATCAAGAAAAAAAATATAAGTCGAGTGAAGTTCAATATGTTAATAGCTTTTAAGTGGACGATGTCAGAAATCTTGAGGCAGGTGGCAGGGCTGGAGGCTTTATCAGGGTCTTCATAGAGCAGGAGGAGTGGGATGGTGGTTATCAGGGTCATTATCCAGACTCCCACACATGCTAGCACGGCTTTGAATGTTTTTTTAAGTTCTTTGGCATATTTCGGCTGCACAATGGCCATGTATCTGTCAGCACTAATAAAAGCAAGAAGCCATAGGGCAATACTCGGATAAAACACTGTGAGTGCCCCGAGAATCTTGCAGAAGTGTTCGCCAAATGGCCATTCACCTTTTGCATAATAAAACATTCGAAAAGGTAAACTCATTATAAATATTAGGTCCAGCAACGCCACATTCATCATATAGATGGTTACAGTGGTTCTTTTCTTGGTGGAACAACTGAAAACCCATAAGGCAGTGACATTAACAAATACTCCAATTATGAAGATACAGCTGTAGAAGACAAGGGCTGCAATTTTGTATTCATCTGGGTATGAGCTATTAGAAGAGCCAGGTTGAGCTTGATTGTGAGAGGTGGTCATCTTATAGTTGGTGGGCGTGACACTTGGAAACTGTAAAACAGTTGCGAATATTAGGAGGAATAAAACCGTTGGCTGAAAAATAAATGTTAGCATTCTCATACTTAGCATGCAGTGGATTCTAATTTTGGGAGTACTTTATATTGTAGAGTCAATATATGTGTCTTAATATTTATTAATAAATACATTTCCTAGGTATTAATAACAATTTGTACTAACCGATGAAAGTGGTATGGAGTGTTGTAATTTGTAGTGGCAAACTTACTCATTTCTCTTTCCCTGCCCACCTCTCTTCTCACTGAGGAATAAACTTTATGATTTTTTCCCCCCTAAAATTGGGTAGCTATTTCTCCTATAATAATTATTCCTTGATTAGGACTAATTGGGAAAAGGCCATTCTGAATGTTGAATCTTACAATTTACTTTGCCACTTTTTAATCATCTTCATTCTGTTTAAATATTTTGTAATCCAGATTAATAATATCAAATAATAAATTTTAACTCATTAAGTACAATTTTAATCTATAAAATATGTGTTAGAAAACTAATAAAGGAACCATATAACTAGTTAACTACTGAATATTCACAGTAATTCTCATTTGAGATCAGAAACTTTCCCTTTTTACTGGTATATCCCCATAGCCTATTGAGTAAGTTGTAGCTATTAAAAAAGTAAACATTTACTGAATTGATGGATGAGTGAAGGAAGGAACCCTTGATGAGGTGACCCTCAGAAACTACTCTCTAGTAGGTTTGTCAGTGAAGACTTGTTTAGTTGGCCATTAAACCATGTTTTGTTTTTTTAAGTGGTAAATACTTCTTCATAGCATTAGGTTCTCTATAAATTTCATAGGTCTTGAGACAGCAGTGTGTTGTGCCATGGTGTACAGATTAAGAACTTTACTCTTAGAACAATAGATGAGCTAGTTTCTAATGTACAGTTTGGGTGTGTCTAAAACTGAGCCTTCCAGATGGTGTTTACAAGTGTCTTTGAAGTAGATCTCACTGCTGTAGTGGTGCACAGAAAGCAACACCTTGAGAATGAGGTATTGTTGGTATAGTAACTTTCATGTCCTCACTCTACAGAGATACAGAAGTGTACTATTTGTCAAATTAAATTTTAAAAGGGAATATTAAACACAAGTGGTTATTAATAAGACATCACTCAATAACTTTATGTGTATGCAAAAACTAATTCCCATCACCAAAAAAAAAGTTCATTTCTAATGGAAAGGAGTTTAGTGATTGTATATATCACGGATCCCCCACAATGTGAAACTTCCATCACCCATGATGCAATGCTAACACCAGGGATTATAAAAATAGAGTCGCTACAAAGAAATGGAACCTTGTGGCATCCCCTTGAAATACAGAGGTGTAAGAAGAGTTTCCTTCAAAAATGTCACTTTGCAGAGTGGGCTGTCTCTAAGTCAGCCCTGTTGTGGGGGTTAGCAGTGTGGTCGGTGGCATCATGGGCTGTTGATAATTTAAAAATGATTTGAACACTTGCTGATATGAGTTTGTTTTCCCCCTCCCCGCTCTCTTCCCTCCCTCCCTCCCTTTCTCCCTCCCTCCCTTTCTCCCTCCCTCCCTTTCTTCCTGATTACAGCTAGTTTGCCAAATATTTAGGTGAAATATGATTTTGGGATATATTTCTATATGTTTAAACACCTGTATTAATTAAAATATCCAAATATTGATGTGACTAGAATATTAATTTCTATCAGATGAGACGAGTACTACATAGAAAAACTAAATCTTCAGTGATTTTTTAAATAGTAGCAATTATAATGTAAATGAAATTTAGTATCCTTTTTTCTCTTTTAATACTTCACCCATCCTCATCCCCAAATTTTGTCATATACATTCTGTACTTACAAACCATTTTTTGAGTAACGCCCTCTCCAGTGGGCTCAAACTGCTTGTATGTCACCAACACTTGTATTCATTTGCTTAAGGTTGAAAAATTAAGCATGATGCATGTGTTTTAAAGGCATTGCCAATATAGATTGTGCTCTGCACAGGCAGATATATTTTTGGATAAATATTGAAAAGCAGTTGGCTTTTAAGTCAACATTTAAAAAGCTTTCAATTCCATGATTATCTATGGTCTTTCTTTTCTTAAAAGCCTTTAAAGTACACGTTGTGAAATACTGTAATTGAAACCAAGTGATGACTCTTAAATATACTTATGATTTATCATTTCAACATCTTCCTTAAGTTGAACAAAATTACATTTACTGTTAATGTAAAAATTGAAAATAAATGAAAAATCATATTAATAATTCAGGAAGATGACAGCATAACTCATTTCAAGGTTCTTCACCAGCACGGTTTCAGTAATGTATCATTAAAATAAAACAATGATTTTGAAATTTAGTAAGTACAGCATTACTTCTCATAATCTACGATGAAGTTAATTAAATGCAACTTACCTCCTGTCCATCAAAAGGCTGTATTAGAGAGGAACATTTTTCGGTATAATCAGGTCTATAAAAGAAGGATCCTTGAGTTGCTTCTCTTTCTGGAATTGATATACTTAAAAAATGGTATGTTTCTTTGTTTTAGGCTCTTCTGTTGCTTTAAAACGTCTCAAATATAATTCTTGGTATAGGAGTTGTTACTCGTTGCTGCTTTTTCTCTTTCAGGAAGTACTCTCTGAAATAAGGCTTTTTTAGCTTTGACTGGATGTGGTTTTTCTCTTTCACAAATGATTTGTTTGTGAAGCTATGCTGAGCATAAACTTCCCTTGAAATGATACCATGCATTTAAGAGAGTTATACGAAAAGGGGAAAACATCTTCACTTTTTTGCTTTGATGCTTCAAGTCTGCATCATGTATTGAAAGAGTATGAGATTTGATGTTGAGTAGAATGGATTCATAGTATAGCTTTTTTATTTTCTAAGCTGTGTGACTTTGTCTGGTTACCTACCCACTCTGAGCCTTTGTTCCTACTTAGTTTCTATACAGTTAAAATAGAGATAATACCCATTTGATAGGGTTGTGAGGATTTGAAACCAGAAAAATCCCAAGAGTTGAACATAATATCTGGCATTTAGGTACTCCTAAACAGAGTTAATCCTTTACCACAAAGTTCCTAAAATAATAGAATATCCACTTTTTACTGTTAAAACATTTTTAAATGGTTAAATTGGGATACTTAGTTATTTACTTCTGCTTTCCATATACATAAATGCTTTATTTTTTTAAGTCCCCAGTGCTTTATATCCCCTGTCTGTCACGTAGAATTCTAAAAATAGTTCCTTTTGCATAAATATCCCTGCAAACTGCTAAGAAGGGACTATGGCAGTCTTTAGTGGAGTAATTTACATGTTAGGAGTATTTTAACCTAAGCAGGGAAATGAAACCAGCGGAGAGGGAAGTGAGCCATCCAATCATTGCCTGCCTAGTTATATTAAAGTTTTTACTTTCTCTTTTCTTAAAAAAAGAAATCATCATCTCATTTGGTTGTCCTAAAATTTTAATTAACTTTATATTTGGTTATACTTGACTAGTCAACTTCTGTAAAGTACATGAACTAAAATGAACTGTATTTTTATTAAGACAGTTTGAACGCCCATGCTTTTTGTTTTTATTTTCCCCCTCAGACAAAATTATAGTAAGTCTTTGACTTACAAAATTTATTTAAATCTATGCCTTTGGTGATTACTTTGGATTGGGATAGCCTGTCAGAATAATGAATTTTAGAAGTGTAGGCAACAACCAAAGCAACTATTTCTTATGCAGATGAAGATTTGAGCTCAAAGAAGGCCATGACTTGCTGAAGAACAGCCCACAGGCCCAGCTTCTTCAGGTGCTGAGTTCCTCCCCTTTCTGCCCTCTTTGCTGTAATAAGTTCTCGTTATGAGGTGATTACATTGATTATTCACTAGACAGGATCTGTTCATTGCCAATTACATTAATCAGTTTTTTATGCATGGAGTTATATTTCATATGCAGTGTAGGTGAGTTTGATAGGAGATGGGAACCTTTTATCTATAGAATCCAATCTTGTCATTACCTTAATTTCATTTAGCCTGTGACAAAGTTTCTGATATTAAGTATTGATTAGTATTCCCTGTGCTGCTAAAATCAAGAGATACATTGATGGCATATTGCGTTAAGACTTGAGTCCTTTGTCATCCACAGGGAGATTCTTTCCTCTGACCTGCCAGTCTCTCAGAGAAAGGAAGGAAGGGGCCAGATAGGAAGTCCCCACAGCACAGCTTGAGGTGGCTTGGCTGCTACTCGTTTCCCACTTCCTTTCCATTGTAGCCATTTGGGACCTTCTGCGTGTGCTCTTCTTGACCTTTCACATGCTCTTCCAACTGGTGACATTCCTTACCACTCATTCCCTTCCACCTCTTGGCTTGGCCAGCTGCTACTGATCCTTAAAGTTTTAGTTTCAATGATGCCTTTTCTAGGAAGTTTTCTCTGACCTTTGAAGCTGGGTTGCTTATTCACCCCTGTAAGGTTCCTTAGCACTTGGTACTTATCCCTGTAGTGGAGTGTGTTTGTATTATTATTGCATATTTACTTGCCTTTTATCCTGTAGTAAATTGAGGTCCTTGAGGGCTGGCATTAATATATATGTATGTGTATTATCGATTTTTAATAAATATTGCTTGAATGTGTGACTGGAAAAGTAGGTGAGGAAATGGAGGGTGGAAAGAGTCATGGACAAATTACTGAGCCAGGTGTCAGCATCAGGGACACTTTGACCAGTTATATGAGGGACCTGCCAATCACAAATCAGATGTAGAGACTTAGGCAAGGGGAACAGGGGCCGGGACCTTTCTCTCCTTCTCTTCATGCCCCTGTAGCACTTATTCTCTGTGTTCCTGGCTCTTCACAATAATTATTTTGTTGGAAAAGAATTACGATGAAAAAGATCTTCCCCAAACTGGCAGCAAGTAAACAGTGGATCAAGAATGAAACTTTTGTAGTGTGTAGTTTGCTTCTTTAATACTTGAACCTCATTAATTTTTATTCAAATGAAAGAACTTAACTCATTTAGGGATCATTCATGAAGCTTTAATTTCCTCACTTATTTGGAATCTAGTGAAAGAGAAAATTTTCACCTTGCAAAAGAGGGATCTTTCATATTCTGGGAGGCTACAGAGTTCCCTTCCCTTCATTCTATGAAATAACCTGTTTTAGCTTTTTAGCTCTATTTTGAATTTTGGTTTAGATGTTAAAAGCCCTAAGGGATTTTCATTTTAGTGCTTGAGCCCAGTTTGAGTGAATATAAAAATTTAAATTAGTTAAGGCAATTTTATATTTCTTAGAAAAGATATTGTTAATAGATTTACACAGTAAATCCCCATTATAAAACATGCTCCTATGTTAGAGATTTGTGTATGCCACAGATAAAATTGTATTTCCCGTTTTTAACGTATTTCTCTCTACCACAGCAACTTACAGCTATAATCTTACAGCCCAGTTAGTATGAACCTCCTGTCCACTTGACTTCCTGACTTGTATTTCTCCTTGGCAATTTGCAAACAAGATGAACCCAGATAAGCAAAGTGATTGATAATTTAAGTTAAAATAGATCTAAATCAGCAATGAAAGTAGAGTTCCCTAAAGATATTAAAGATTCTCTCACTTAGAGGATCTTAGGAGAAGGCTTCTGCATGGCAGTGCAGTCAGCCCTGGACTCACTGAAATCGTATGGGACCCCAGGCCAACAATTTGCAGTGACGTTTCACTGACTGACTAGTAATCCAGAGTCTCTGGGACAGGACAGGTGACTGAGTAGAGCTCTCTGGTTATTGTGATGTACATGGCCACCTCCTGAGGACTCTGGTCTCACAGTTAAAGGAGAATAATATATATATTACATATCCTATCTAATAAAAGAGTAATATGCAAATTAACCATCACTCCATCACAAAGATGGTGGCGGCCATGGAGCTGGAGCAAGCAGGAGGCTTGTGTTGCCCCGACAATGGAGGAAGCCAAACTTCTTGCCTGCCCTGCCGGCCCTGAGCTCCGCTCAAGGCTACAAAGTTTCAATTATAGAAGACAAATAAACCCCAGATACCTGCTTCCAGCTGCTGTAGACTCTGCTCAAGGAGGGTCTGGGAGCCTGGGTTGCCAGGGGCAACCTAGGATTCCAGCCAACCTGGGCTCCACTCAAGGCTACAAAGTTTCAATTATAAAAGATAAATAAATCCCAGATACCTGCTTCCAGCCCGTGGTGTGGCCAGCCTGCAAACGGCCCTCAGCTCCTCACCCAGGCTGGCCAGGCCCCCCAGTAAAGACCACCCCCCACCCTGAAGGGGCTGTGGCCAGCCTGCAAACAGCCATCAGCCCCTCACCCAGGCTGGCCACCCCCCCATGGGGTGAGGGTCCCCACTGGGGGGCTTGACCAGCCTGCAAACAGCCATCAGCCCCTCACCCAGGCTGGCCAGGCACCCAAGCGGGACCCCCACCCTGATCCGGACACCCTTCAGGGCAAACCAGCTGGCCCCCACCCATGCACCAGGCTTCTATTCTATATAATAAAAGGGTAATATGCAAATTGACCCTAACAGCAGAACGACTGGGAATGACTGGTCACTATGACACACACTGACCACCAGGGGGCAGACGCTTAATGCAGGAGCTGTCCCCTGGTGGAGAGAGAGAGAGAGAGAGACAGACAGAGAGAGACAGAGACAGAGAGAGAGAAAGAGAGGAGAGAGAGAGAGAGGAGTGTGTAGGGAAAAATATCTGGTAATGTGAGGAAGTAGCAGTTTAGAAGAAAAAGTATTGTGGAGAGTCAGGATTGCTAAAGAAACACGTGTTATTAATTTACTTAAATCCAAAACCTGTATACTAGTATGTGTGTGATTGAGGACTTTAGTATATAGGCATCTGTATACAAAGAAGTAACTACACGTCTGTGCAGTTGAAGGTTGTTGGTTTGAGAAGAGTTATTTAGGATTTTTTCATTATTTCTGCAGTTACTCTTATCTGTATTATCAGAGGTAATCAGAGGTGAATAATCGTGAGGCAGAGTTCTAAGTACTTTAAATGCGTCATCAAATTTAATCTTTATGCCAACAGCAAAGTATGTTGAGGACACCATAGTAGTATGTATGATATAATCCAGGGCTACTTACTCTTGATTCTCAGATTCTGAGATTGTGTTATGCTCTATCTGTATTATGGTATTATACTTTGTTTTAGTAATTTTCATTGAAGTTGGTTGTACTTAATAGAGAATCATCAGAATAGTAATTTTATTTTTAGCAAAAAGTCTGCAGAGGAAGTAGGCCATCCTTTCCCTGTTCCTCATTAAAGGAAAGGTTTGGTAGCTGCATTCTATCAGCCTGTAAATTTAATTTTGGTGCCAGGGAAGATCTCTTCCATTCAGTGGGCCAAAGACTTTTAAACTCTCAAAAAAGAGTATATCCAAATGGTTAGTAAACATGTAAGTATGCTCATAAGTAATCAAGTTGACAAAAATTAAAACCATGAAAAGATATTACTACCCACATACCAAAATGCCTACAATGAAAAAGACTGACAGCACGAAGTGTTGGTTATAGAGCAACTAAGGAACTGTTATGCATTGCTGGTGGAATGTTTAAATTTGAAGAACAGTTGGATATTAAGTACTACAATGAAAATATATGTGTCCTGTGACACAGATTCCACTTCTAGATAGAAATGCATGTTCCTGTGCACCA